TCTCCTGAAATTTCACCTGCATCTATGGCAAGCATCCTCAGAGGTTGTGAGGTCTGTTGGAACTAGGAAAATTGGGTGTATATATCTGTGGAATGTCCAGGGTGGGACAAACACTCCAACAGACAAGAGTTCTTTGTCCCACCCTGGACATTCCACAGATATATAAACCCAATTTTCCTAGTCCCAACAGACCTCACAACCTCTGAGGATGCTTGCCATAGATGCAGGTGAAATGTCAGGAGAGAATGCCTCTAGAACATGGCCATATAGCCCAAAAAACCTACAACAACCCAATTGTTCTAAGGACTGAACATCTATCTTCTATATAAATAAAAATGTAATGTTCGTTTGTGGGATTAACATAACTCAAAAACTACTGAACAAATTGCCACCAAATTTAGCCACAAGACATCTACTAACCCAAGGAGCGACTATGACTCACAAAAATTGATTTTGTCATTTGGGAGTTGTAGTTGCTGGGATTTATAATACACCTTCAATCAAAGGGCATTCCGAACTCCACCAATGATGGAATTGAACCAAATGTGGCACACAGGACTCCCATGACCAACAGAAAACACTAGAAGGGTTTGGTGGGGATTGACCTTGAGTCTGGGAATTGTAGTTCACCTACATTCAGAGAGCACTTTGGACACAAACAATGATGAATCTGGAACAAACCTGGCACAAATACTGAATATGCCCAAATATGAACACAGATGGAGTTTGGGGAAAATACACCTTGACATTTGGGAGTTGCAGTTACTGGGATTTATAGTTCACTTACAATCAAAGAGCACTGTGAACCTCATGAATGACAGAATCGGGGCAAGCCTCCCACACAGAACCCCCATGACCAACAGAAAATACTTAAGGACATCAAGTCCAACTCCCTTCACCAGGGCAAGAAAAGGTAATCAAAGCCCTCCTGACAAAGAGCCATCCAGCCATAGATATAGATAGATAATATATGTGATTCACACACACACAGAAAGTGTTGGTTTCTAATATATGTAATGTCTTTCTTCTTGTGGATAAACAGTATTTCTTGCTGTTTCTTTGTCAATGTTGATGTGGAGATTGTCTGATTTGCCTACTCTGGGACATGCAACACATCATTGTCCTTCTTCAGGGGTCCCTTTCAAATCTATGGTACTATGTCGCATGTTCCAGAGTAGGCAAACCAGACACTCTCCACATCAACACTGACAAAGAAACAGCAAGAAATACTGTTGACCCACAAGCAGAAAGAAATTACATATATTAGAAAACAACACTTTCTCATTACTTTATTTTCCAGATCACCAGACTGGGCCACAGCAACACCTGGCAGGGCATGGCTAGTTTTTCACTAAAAGGGTTTATTTGGACTTTTTTCTTCCCTGTAATAATAGAATGCTGCAGTAATCTGCTAGATTTCATCTCCAATGGAGACAGTGCAGTTCTCCTGATGCGGAGTAGCACTATAACCTTTCTTTCTGACAGATTCTGTCCAATTTTATTTCTGTTAGAAAAACAAAACACTGTGGTAATTGGTGCACAAACGGTTTCGTGATACCAGTCCAAAGGCTCCAGCAATCAACCTAATTTTTTTCTCAAGGATCTGCCACAAACTCAGAAATGTCCCTTCAGTGTAAGGTGCATTAACCCCACAGTAAAGGGAAGAATCAGTGTCCCCAAGCCCCCTCCCTGCCCTTTCCTCCCCTTCCTCTTTTCTTTCGAAGGCAGAAAGTAAGGAAAGGCAGGAAACATTTTGATCCCAAAAGGGTTGGCTTTGGTCAGGATGAGATGGTGGTCCTCCATCGTAAACCGGATCGGGGTATAGGGTGGCAACCTGTGTTGGACGGGGTTACACTCCCCCTGAAGCCACAGGTCCTCAGTTTGGGAGTCCTCTAGGACTCATCGCTTACACTTGAGGCTCAGGCGTCAGCGGTGGCCGGGAGGGCTTTTGCACAACTGAGACTCGTGCGCCAACTGCAACCGTACCTCGCAAAGGCTGATCTGGCCGGAGTGGTCCATGCCTTGGTCACATCTAGATTGGACTACTGCAATGCGCTCTACGTAGGGCTGCCCTTGAAAATGGCATGGAAATTCCAGCTGGTCCAACGGGCAGCAGCCAGGATGTTAACTGGCGCTCCTTACAGAGAGAGGTCAACCCTCCTGTTCAAGGAGCTCCACTGGCTGCCATTCATCTTCCGGTCCCAATTCAAGGTGCAGGTGCTTACCTACAAAGCCCTGAACGGTTTGGGACCATCCTACCTGCGTGACCACATCTCCATCTACGAACCCACGCGTTCACTTCGGTCATCCGGAGAGGCCCTGCCCGTGATTCCGCCTGCGTCGCAAGCACGTTTGGTGGGGACACGAGACAGGGCCTTTTCTGTGGTGGCCCCCCGACTCTGGAACACCCTCCCCAAAGATCTTAGACAGGCCCCTACATTGGCAGTCTTCAGAAAGAACTTGAAGACCTGGCTGTTCCGATGTGCCTTCCCAGATTAGGAATCTCCAATACCAAGTCCCAGAAGCACTTTATTAGAACTAAGATTGCCGCACACTGCACACTGCACTTGCCCTATAATTGCCTTATATACCACCTGTCACATCAGCACTTTTAATCCTGTACCCATTACTCTGGCCCGGCCCAGTTTTATTGCATTTCTGTGTATTGTTTATTGCCTGTGTTTATATTGCTTTAATTGTTTTAATTTGCTTTAGGTTTTGTATTGTTATATTGTGTGTTGAGGCCTCGGCCTTTGTAAGCCGCATTGAGTCCTTCGGGAGATGCTAGCGGGGTACAAATAAAGTTTAATAATAATAATTAATAATGCTGGATGGGAGAGAGAAAGTGTATCCATTAGACCCCGTATTGCATACTCCTGATATAGAATCCTAGAATCCTAATGCTGGAATTGACCCCCAAGGTCTATCCAGTCCAACCCACTGCAATGCAGGAAGGCACAATCAAAGCACTCCCAGTAGACAGCCTCTTCGGTAAAGCCTCCAGAGAATGAGACTCCACCACACTTTTGATGCAGCCTATGCTACTCTCCAACAGCTCTCACTTTCAGGAAGTTCTTCCTAATCTTTTCAGTTGAATCTCTTTCCCTACCAATTGAACCCATTCCTCCCTTGTGCCCTGATCTCTAGAGAAGCAGAAAGCCAGTTTTTTCCCCCATCCACAGTCTTTTACTTCTTGAAATGTGGTTCTCATGTTCTCTACCTTCCCTTCTCCCAGCTAAACATTCCCCAGGAGGAAAGAGAAAGGAAAAGGAGAAGGAAGGAAAGAAGGAAAGGGAAGGGAAGAGGGGAAGGAAGGAAGGAAGGAAGAAGGAAAAGAAGAAGGAAGGAAGGAAGGAAGGAGGAGAGAGAGGGAAGGATGAATGGGTGGAAGGGAATGGAGAGAGGGAGGAAAGAGAGAAGGAAAGGCAAAAGGGAAGGAAGGGAGGGAGGGAAGAAGGAAGGAAGGAAGGAAGGAAGGAAGGAAGGAAGGAAGGAGGGAGAAAGTAAGAGGGAGGGAGGGAGGGAGGGAGGGAGGAAAAGAAGGAAGAAGAAGAAGGAAGGAGAAGAGAGGGAAGGAAGGGAAAGAAGGAAGGGAGAAGGAAGGAAAGGAAGGGAAGGAAGGAGGGAAGGAAAGAGGGAGGGAAGGAAGAAAGGAAAGAGAAGGGGAAGGAGGAGAGAGAGGAGGCTGAGAAAGGAACCCAAGGGGCCATATAACAATAATAATAATAATAATAATAATAATAATAATAACAACAACAACAACAACAACAACAACAACAACAACAACAACAACAACTCTGGCACAAGCCAGTCAAGTGGTCCCAGTGGTGATCGGCAACTGGATGCAGTGCCTCAAGACCTTGGCCTGCACTTAAACACAATCGGTGCTGACAAGATTACCACCTGCCAGCTGCAAAGGTCCACCTTACTGGGATCTGCACGCATTATTTGCCGATACGTCACATAGTCCTAGACATTTGGGAAGTGTCCGACGTGTGATCCAATACAACAGCCAGCAGAGAGATCTTGTCTGCTGTGGACTCATCTTTGTGTTTCTAATAATAATAATAATAATAATAATAATAATAATAATAATAATAATAATAAATATCCCGCCACCATTTCCCTGAAGGGGACTCGGGGTGGCTAACATGAAGCCAATCCCAAAACATACAATGCAGCAAAATAAAATACAATACAACAGAAAAGTTACATCCCATCTGGCCCCTGGGCCTGGGTTTGCCCATTCCTGATTTAGATACAAGGTTTCCCCCCACCTTCCCAATACCATGTAGGGCACGCAGGAATGAAAATCAATTGGTCCAAACCCTTCCACCTATGCTCACAATATTTTATGTGGCAGGCAGATGAGGGTAAAGGGTAGCCCAGACTTGAAGACTACAGCCACCTTTCCTCGCCCCACTCTCCCAATGTCACATAGGTAGCCAAAGGATCCCAAATACACACACACTCCAGAGACTTTTCCCCCATGCATGTCATCTCGAAAAACTGCATACTTTTCAAAAACATTCTAGAGCAGGGAGAAAGTAATTAAAATATTTGTTCTCCCTTTCCGAAATGAATAATTGAACAAAGCATTTCCCTCCTCTGACATGTCAAAATGCAAAGGGAAGCCTATTAATGGTGGAAGGACGTTCAAAGCTAAATATGGGGCTGCAACAGAAACACGTCAAGCTTTTTTACCTTCCAAAAAACTAATAAAAACACACTGCAGAGCTTGCGTTTCGTATCTGCTCTTGAATTTTTTTTTGCTGCCAGTGCTGGAGTGAATACGATAACATCAGTACACAGGGTGAGTTTTTACTCTTAGTTTTTTCCCTTCTAAAAGTGATGACAGGTTGACACAGGGCTGCCATTTTCTATGGCAGCTACATTTCTATTACAGCATGCAGTTGAGTCTTAAAAGGGATCTTCAAGGGCCTCTTCTTGTGATTTTCCCCATCCCACTTGCAAGTAGCATATCCCAGGTTAAAACTTACAGTTCGATAAGTCTCAGTGTCTTGAAGAGTAGCCATGAGAGAGTAGTCAAGTGGTTGCCAGACAGGTTTCTGTGCGGGGAAAAAAGAAAAGAAAATATCTGTCAGTCTCCGTAGTGATTCTAATATAATATTGTCACCATTTCCAGGGAAATCCTGATACTCCAGTCCTAAAATAAATAAATCATAGAATCATAGAATCAAAGAGTTGGAAGAGACCTCATGGGCCATCCACTCCAACCCCATTCTGCCAAGAAGCAGGAATATTGCATTTATTTATTTATTTATTTATTTATTTATTTATTTATTTATTTAGATCGTTTGCCTACAGAGACACTCGCTGGAACACCCCAGCAAGCGAGAGTCCAAAAGTGGCAGGCCCAAACCCAGCACCTCAATCCATGGGTGATACCAGATGAGAGACTCCCCCCTGGGCACACAGAAGAAGACGGGGCGACTTGGAAGGCGCTGAACAGACTGCGCTCTGGCACCACGAGATGCAGAGCCAACCTCAAGAAATGGGGCCACAAAGTGGAATCCTTGACATGTGAGTGCAAAGAAGAACAAACCACTGACCACCTGCTGCAATGCACCCTGAGCCCTGCACATGATGCACCATGGAGGGCCTCCTTGCGGCAACACCAGAGGCACTCCAAGTGGCCAGATACTAGTCAAAGGACATTTAACCAACTACCAAGTTTGCAAAATCTCTGTGTTTTTTTCTTTTTGTTTTTAATCTGTGTGTTTGTTCTGTTCTGTTAGAATTGTAACAAAATGGTATGGTTGCTGATGACACGATAAATATATATATACCCCGCCCTTCTCACCCCCGGGGGGGGGGGGGGACGGGACTCAGGGCAGCTTACATGGACAACAATTCAATGCCATAATATCAATACAACAACATAAAATGGATGCTGTGCTTTTATATTCATGCCTTGGATCCATGTTTCCTGATTTCTTGCATTTTATTTGGGAAGTTTTGACTTTGTTTTTATGGACTTTGCTTTTTATGGACTACTTTGCTTTTTATGGACTTTGCTTTTATGGACTGCTTTCTTCCTGCTTATCTTCCTACCTAATTGGATTTACCTATTTCTTTAAAGTGCTTTATTACTTTACTGCTTTTTAATTATCTTCAATAAAAGGATTGTTTCCCTATCCAACGGTGTGGTGTTTAAAGTCCGAGGGCTTTTTCCTGTCCTGGAGTGCAACACCCATTTCTGTCTATTCAAAGTTAAAGGCTCAATGAAAAACCTGTGTTCATAGGTTAGATCGAAAGGTTTGGGGAGTGGGAGCTAACCTAATCTCTCTAGGGAGGGCATTCTAGAGCCATCACTGAGAAGGCCCTCTTTCTCATCTCTTGAGACAGTGGTGGGACCAAGAGAAGGGCCTCCCTGGTGGATCTCAAAGCCCAAGTCATTTCATATTTATTTATTTATTTATTTATTTATTTATTGACAGCTTTTACATTCCGCCCTTCTCCTCACCCCGCAGGGGACTCAGGGCGGATTACAGTGTACACATATATGGCAAACATTCAAGGTCAATTTTTGACATACAACATATACAGACATACACAGAGGCTATTTAACTTTTTCTGGCCGCCAGGGGAGCTGTCGCTTTCATTGTCCATCTGCGACGCTGATGAAGCACTTCCGCATTCCCCGCATGCTTCCCCGCTGGAATGCTTTGCTGGAGTCTTCTTTATGGCCTCATCAAACAGTTAATTTAGCCTCCCCACACTTTAAGGTGGTACTTTATTTTCCTACAACTGTCTTTCGGGTTGCAAAGGTCGACAACAGGCTACACACAATTGGTTGGAAACCCACTCCAACCCGGGCTGGCTTCGAACTCATGACCTTTTGGTCAGAGTGATCTTAATGCAGCTGACACTCAGCCAGCTGCGCCACAATCCCGGTGCTCATAGAAGGAGATGCGGTCTCAAAGATATGTTGGACCGTATAGGGCTTTATTGGTGATAATCTGCAGTTTGAATAGGATCCAGAAACTTGTCAGAAGCCAGTGGAGCTGGCTATCTGTCTCTGAATGGCTGCAAGGCCAACCCGATAACTGTATAGTAGGGGATTTGAACACCGAGAGGTGTTTCTCTTTTTGTAAAGATCTAAATTTTGCCTTCCACATCTTCCTGTTATTCACACCAAAAGAGGCGGCTGCCATGGCAACTGGAGACAACTCAGGGAAGCACACACACACACGCACGTACACACCCCAGCCGGGAAAGACAAAGAGTGCAAAACCTGCTCCCTCCAGGAAGCATTTGCAAAACAGCACCCAGCACCCCTTTACTATTTCTCTAAGCCAGTGGTTCTCAACCTTCCTAATGCTGTGACCCCTTAATACAGGTCCTCCTGTTGTGGTGACCCCCAACCATAACATTATTTTTGTTGCTACTTCATAACTGCAATTTTGCTACTGTTATGAAGCGTAAGGTAAATATCTGATATGCATGATGTATTTTCATTCACTGGACCAAATTTGGCACAAATACCCAATACACCCAAATTTGAATACTGGTGGGATGGGGGGGGTGGAAGTTGTAGTTGCTGGGATTTATAGCTCACCTACGATCAAAGAGCATTCTGAACTCCACCAACAATAAAATTCAACCAAACTTGGGACACAGAACTCCCATGACCAACAGAAAATACTGGAGCATTGACCTTGAGTTTTGGAGTTGTAGTTCACCCACATCCCGAGAGGACTCAAAACAATGATGGGTTGGGACCAAACTTGGAATGGAAATCAATATGCCCAAATGTGAACTCTGATGGAGTTTGGGGAAAACAGACTTGACATTTGGGAATTGTAGTTGCTGGGATTTATAGCTCACCTATGATCAAAGAGCATTCTGAACTCCACCAACAATAAAACTGAACCAAACTTGGGACACAGAACCCATGACCAACAGAAAATACTGGAAGGCTGTGATGAGCATTGACCTTGAGTTTTGGAGTTGTAGTTCACCTATAGAGAGCACTATGCACTCAAACAATGATGAATCTGGACCAAACTTGGCACAAATACTCAATATGCTCAAATCTGAACACTGGTGGAGTTTGGGGAACATAGGCCTTGACATTTGGGAGTTGTAGTTGCTGGGATTTATAGCTCACCTATGATCAAAGAGCATTCTGAACTCCACCAACAATAAAATTCAACCAAACTTGGCACACAGAACTCCCATGACCAACAGAAAATACTGGAAGGGTTTGGTGAGCATTGACCTTGAGTTTTGGAGCTGTAGTTCACCCACATCCCGAGAGGACTCAAAACAATGATGGGTTGGGACCAAACTTGGAATGGAAATCAATATGCCCAAATGTGAACTCTGATGGAGTTTGGGGAAAACAGACTTGACATTTGGGAATTGTAGTTGCTGGGATTTATAGTTCACCTACAATCAAAGAGCCTTCTGAACCCCACCAATGATAGCATTGGGACAAACTTCCCACACAGAACCCCCATGACCAACAGAAAATACCGTGTTTTCTGATGGTCTTTGGCGACCTCTCTGAAACCCCCTTGTGACCCCTCCTGGGGTCCCAACCCACAGGTTGAGAAACACTGCCCGAAGCCATTTACGGAGCTGGGACAGCTTTTCCTAAGTTTTCCAGTTTTTTTCTTTTTAATGGCACGAGAACAAGGCATGAACATTCCACGTTCACCACTGAAGACCTTGCAGTGAAAACGGAAAAGTGATAGAAGCTCATAGAAAGTAAACTGCCTTCTACATAGTCAGAGTATCTTTTTACATAATCATAGATTCATCTACTTCTGCTTCATTGACTATTCTAAAGCCTTTGACTGTGTGGATCATCACAAATTGTGGCAGGTTCTTGGTGGGATGGGCATCCCAAGCCCCCTTCCCTCTCTCCTGAGGAACCTGTACAAGGACCAAGGAGCAACAGTCAGAACTGACCACGGAACAGGAGACGGGTTCAAGATTGGGAAAGGCGTACGGCAAGGCTGCATCCTCTCACCCAACCTTTTTAACTTGTATGCAGAACACATCATGCGAGGATGTGCGGGGCTTGAGGAATGCAAGGCTGGGGTGAAAATGACTGGAAGAAACATTCACAACCTCACATATGCAGATGACACCACTCTGATGGCCGAAAGCGAGGAGGAGCTGAGGAGCCTTCTAATCAAGGTGAAAGAAGAAAGCGCAAAAGCCGGGTTGCAGCTAAACATAAAAAAAACCAAGATTATGGCAACAAGAATGATTGACAACTGGAAAATAGAGTGAGAAAACGTGGAGGCCGTGACAGGGTTTGTATTTCTAGGCGCAAAGACTACTGCAGATGCAGACTGTGGCCAGGAAATCAGGAGACGCTTCCTTCTTGGGAGGAGAGCCATGTCCAGTCTTGATAAAATAGTCAAGAGTAGAGACATCAGACTGGCAACCAAGATCCATTGCCTAGTCCAAGCCATGGTCTTCCCTGTAGTCACCTACGGATGTGAGAGCTGGACCTTAGGGAAGGCTGAGCGAAGGAAGAGAGATGCTTTTGAGCTGTGGTGTTGGAGGAAAGTGCTGAGAGTGCCTTGGACTGCGAGAAGATCCAACCAGTCCATCCTCCAGGAAAGAAAGCCCGGCTGCTCACTGGAGGGAAGGAGACGAGAGACATCATGAGTAGTCTTTGGCCACATCATGAGGAGACAGCAAAGTCTAGAGAAGGGAATGATGCTGGGGAAAGTGGAAGGCAAAAGGAAGAGGGGTCGACCAAGGGCAAGGTGGATGGATGGCATCCTTGAAGTGACTGGACTGACCTTGAAGGAGCTGGGGGTGGTGACGGCCGACAGGGAGCTCTGGCGTGGGCTGGTCCATGAGGTCACAAAGAGTCGGAGACAACTGAACGAATGAACAACAACAATATTTAGATTAATCTGACTCACGGCAGCTTTTTGTGGTTTCCAGTAGGTTGTCTCCTATCTAGGTTTCCCAGTGGGAAAACAGGAGAAGGCTTCTGCACTTTTAGTAGAAGGAATACCAGCAGGTATTGCTTGTTACATAACCAACGAGGTGTCCAGGAACACTAGTTGAAATTCCC